CATAGTGGAATATCTTGGGCTTTGTTCTCACTCAGGATCCTAGGATTATCCGGAAAACAACATGTTCATTCTCTATTTTTTTCTTTTTAACATTTTATTTATTTATTTTTATAGAGAAGGGAAGGAAGGGAAAAAGAGAGAGAGAAACATCAATGTGTGATTGTCTCTCATGTGGCCCCCACTGGGGACCTGGCCATCAACCCAGGAATGCACCCTAACTGGGAATCCAACTGGTGACCCTTTGGTTTGTAGCCCATGCTCAACCCACTGAGCTACTCCAGCCAGGGCTCATTGTCTGTTTTAGTAACTTCAATTTTTTCCTTTTGACAATTCCTTAAAATTTTTTAGTAAACCTAGCACTTCCTTCCATATTTTGAAGATAAGTTCTAAAATATTTTATCATAATTTAAAAAGTTGCAAATAATTGACAGATTATTGTAACATTTAACATTTAAAAATAAAATTGCTATATTTCTGTAAAAATCAGAATTGACTATACTTTGAGACTCTTCATTATTGACTTAAAATATACATGCCAACCAACTCTTTTTTAACATGTGGAAATCTTACATCTTCCATTTATTTCTTTTAATTAATATTTTTTGTTGCACTTCCCCCACAAAATTTCATTGAAAAACAATATATTTTTATATACTTTTTTCTTGATTACACCATCATGGCATTCAGGGAAAAAGTGAGTGTACACTGAAATTTTAAAATTTCCTTCATGTCCTATTATAAGAACCTTAACTTTTTTCATATAAACTTATTAAAACTGAAAAATAAAATTTCATTAGAAATGCATCTCTTTATAAGACACATAAAGTTTTAAATAGTTTTTGCATTTGTAGCTAAATGAATAAAGGGTATACAATGTACTGAGTTATTTTGTGTATAAATATATATTGAATTGGTTCTAAAAATAGTATTAACTTTTGTCAATGTGAAATTCAAAATACTAAACTTTTTTTAGCCTCACCTGAGGGCATGCTTATTGATTTTAGATAGAGGGGAAGGGAGGGAGAAAGAGAGGCAGAGAAACATCGATGTCAGAAAAAAGCTGATAGGTTGTCTCTCAATGTGTCCCACTGGGGACAGAGCCTGAAACCTAGGCAAATATCCTGAGCTGGAATTGAACCCATAACCTTTGGGTTTATGGGAACACACTCTAACAAACTGAGCCACATTAGCCAGAGCTAAACTTTTTTTATATTAAACAAAATAAAATGAGGTTTGAATACAATTAAATTAATTATTTTATAATATAATCACATTAAGTAGACTTTAAATTAATTTTTGAAAAATACATATTTCATCTGAAGTGAATCACAGAAATTTATGATTTTATTGGCTTATGATTTAAAGCCATCTATGGCTTTATTCATTGCATCCTTAAAAGTTTGGTTGTTTCAGAAAATATCCCAGTAACATTTAAAAGAATCAATATCACTACTTGTACTACTGTTTATCACACCTATACTACTTTGGTTGTTTTAAAGTGCTTTCTTTTAAACCAAAGATATTACTTAGGAATAAGTGTTGAGAATAACTGAAACAAACTATTTATTTAAAATTCTTAAAAGCCATTTTTACCTTTCATTTCCTATTGATATTCTTTTTGCTTTGGTCTTATAGTTTTCTCCCTCAAGAACAATGCACTCTTTCATATTATTCACCTAAATATAAGGCAAAGTCATCAAACGGAACTCATCACTGCTCTCTCATCAGCCCACTCTCCCATATGTATGACTTCAGGACATCCCATCAGGACACAGAACACTTGTATACCAATGTGTTTCTTTAGCAGATGTAAGCAGGACAAGGCAGGAAGGCTCAATGATTGTTTTGGTTAGCATTCTAGCAGTTTGGGAATGGGTGAAGGATATTTCTTTATTTTGTAAAGTAGAAGTAGTATTATTATAAACTTAGATATGTTTCTGATCAAATTTAGGAAAGCAGAAATATGTAATTTGATTCTTTTAGTGCTATCTGCACTTGTGTACTCCTCAGATGGTGTGGTGTTAACATAATCATGATGTGTACCCTCATATGAAGAATGCTATTCAGCAAGATTATTCCAGATAAACAAAGCACATCCACCATACACAGCACAAAATTGTTTCAGGAAGTAGGCTTTCCAATGGTTTTTGGTTATTATAGTTATGAATTTTAAATATTACATAATCAAAATATAAAATTTTATAATGCTTCTATACCCTGGAACCTTATCATGGAGTGTTTGGTAATAGAATTTAATATTTGCAGTTTTTTAATTTTTCGATTACAGTTGTTCCTATTTTCTCCCATTGTTCTCCCCTGACTTACCTAATAACTCTCCACATATAATCCTCCCCCCACATTGTCCTTGTCCATGGGTCCTTTATACATGTTCCTTGACTTGACCCTTCCCCATCTTTCCCCTTTGGCAAGCTTAAACATATATGTAAAAAGAAGATAAAGAAACTAGGTACTATAGCGCATATCCTGAAGTTCAATTATGTATATAACCGTGTAAGCCACAGAATAGCTGATTCAAAAACTCATTGATATTGATAATCTACTTAATAATCAATCCCACAACCCTGAGATTATTCCATTATTCCACATCAAGTTAGAACTGTAAACTTCACTTATAAATAACTACATAGTTAAATTTTTATTTTGGTAAAAATAGCTTTAACTGTATAAATTCAACTAATGCCTTAACTGCACTTAAATAAAATGTCTTATATAGAGACAGGGAAGTTGAATAAACAATGCCATGGCCTGGAAATTTAGTTAATATACATGGCTAAAAATTATTCGATACATCTGAATGGGAAAGCATATTAATGAAGACATTGATGAAGAGTAATTTAGATTAATAAAGAACAAATGTTCTTAGATACTATCATTCTAGATTATAAAACAATACTTCTTAAATCACAATTTTAAATATGGAAATATATAAAATAACCCATCATAAAATAGGGATAATCTTGTCACAAGTCTTTCCCAATAATAATATTGAAGTGTTTTAAGCACATAACAAGTATTAAAAATATCTTATAAAATATTACATTTTTAAAACTGACATTGCCTCCATGACTCTACAAAAGTTTATAAATAAAAAATTACAACTGTAATGAAATACATTATCTTTAGTCCACTTCAATTAATGTTTATAATTACATAGCTTTTGTACCCAAGGTAGGATATGGAAGATGTTTCCTAAAATGTCCATTTTTCTCATGTAACTTTCCAAGTAATATTATTAAGAAAATATATTCAGATAATTTTCAAATCAATTGTCCTTCTAGTACTCCTTCAAGAAGACATAAGTATATATGGTTTTAAGAACAGACATTCCTTAGAGTATTTTAACTAATGAGTGTTATTGATACTTTAAAAAATAGTATCTTAAATAATTATTTAAGTTTTTCTGTTGATTTGATGAATCAAGGCAATAACTTAAAGAATAATTAAACAAGCCCTGACTGGCATAGCTCAGTGGATTGAGTGTGGGCTTCAAACAAAAGTGTCACAGGTTCGATTCCCAGCCAGGGTACATGCTTGGGTTGCAGGCCATAACCCCCAGCAACTACACATTGATGTTTCTCTCTCTCTCTCTATCTCCCTCCCTTCCCTCTCTAAAAATAAATGAATAAAATCTTTTAAAAAATGTTAAAAAATAATAATTAAACAGCTTCTCAGGAATTTGCAATTTATGTTAATCCTTACATGAAACTTAATTTTTAAAATAATTACACAGAGAAATTAAAGTCAAAAGAAAAGAATAAGTTTTTTATTAAATGCTTGATGCTGACTTATGGAGAATAGGACATTCCAGTGGAATTTAATTTATAAGTATAACAGAATATTATTTATTTGATTTTTTCCTCTTTTGTTTCTACTTGCTGACTAGTAACTGATTAGCTTAAGCTTTGGCTATGTTTATTCTAGGCACTATTAGTTGGATATCAGATGTAAAAAGACTGCATTTCTGATCTCAAAAACTTAAACTAATGTATAATCTTTAACTCTGGATTTGATAGGTAAAGTCTGTCTTGTGTTCTTGAATTCTTATCCTGTGAGTCAGGAAACCCACCTTTTATCCTTTCTATAGCTCCATGAACATTCTTATTTTTGAATGGCTTTGTCACAGTCATATTTCACAGGCTTAGCTCTCTTTGGTTGGAAAATTTGTATTTTCCAAATTAGTATACACTCAGTAGGTTTTGCCCCACATAATGAGGTGATTATCGTCTGTTCAGGCAAGGCTGAAGCTCCAGATTTGGATCCCACTGTTTACATCCACAGTTGTTCTATGGAGATGGCAACAGGAGCCAGCAAGATCTCCTCTAGAATACATTTTTCCAAGACATTGTGGCTAAGCATGCACAGCAATAATTGAAACATTTCAATTGTGTTGAGTTTGGCTTATGCATTGGCGTTTTCTTGATCACACAAAACATACCTCAGGATGGTATCCCTCACTCCCTATTGTCCCTAGCAGACACAATTTTTACTCTGTCAAGTAAAAATCTTTGCCCTTCTGAGGCTCTTACCCCAAAACTGTACAACTTCTTCCTAGTTATTACTTAAAAATAAAAAATGGGATAAAATATAAGAAGAAAAATTTAGAATCAATAAATCTGGCCATAATGAGGATAAAGATCATGGACATCTTCTTCTTGGGCCATTCCCAAGGCTACAGAATTCATCCCTCATTCCCACAATTCGAACTCACATTGATCCGTACATAGACAGGTTCACACACCTACCGAAGAAGCCATTAATTAAATAATCAACTGAAAAACAGTGGGATCAGCCTCACTGGAAACAATCAAGGGTTTCCTTTCCTAACCATACATAAATCATGATCTAATCATGAAATAAATACTCCATATTAAAATATATTAAGGCTAAATCTCAAGTAAAATATATTTGAGTCATACTGAAAATCAGTGTTACCAAAGGAGAAGAAAATTTTGCTTTAAAGATGGAAAGAGAAAACCAACCTTTTTTTTTCAAGGGAGGCTCCTCTATTTCTCCTAAACCAAGACAAAAATAGTAAATTAGAAAAACTTGTAGCATAGCATAATATTATTTCTCTATTTTTCCTATTTTTCACTTCTTAAAAGCATCTATTAGTTTTTTTTTAATATTTTACTGTTGTTCCCCATTACAGTTGTCCCCATTTTTCCCCTGTTGCTCTCTCCTCCCCACCCAAATCCCAGTCCCAAAGACAATTCCCATCCCATTGTCTTTGTCCATGGGTCTTTTGTACCTGTTTCTTGACTTGTTTCTTCCCCTTCCTTACCCTCTTATCCACCTCCCCCACCCCTCTGGTCACTGTCAGTTTGTTCTTTATTTCCATGTCTCTAGTTCTTTTTTGCTCATTTGTTTCTTTTGTTGATTAGGTTCCACTCATAGGTGAGATCACATGGTAATTGTTATTCACTACCTGGCTTTTTTCACTTATCATAATAGTCCTCATATAACTTTGTGTCCCAAATTCCAGTATTTACATATAAACTTTATTTATGTATATTTATTAGACATAGTTTTCCTTTTAAGTGCTCAATAAACTGGTGGCAGTGATCCAAATTACACATTATGCTTCATATATCATGTTAACCCCAGTTCTTTATTGTTTTTCTTCGACTCTCACTGGGGCCAAACATAAATTCAGACAAAGTCATAGAAAAGTCTGAAATAATAAGAGCTTTCCTGGTAGTCAAGTCTGAATACATGATGCCTGATGTCTAAAACTGTCCTTAAAAATGTCACTAAAAAGCAGAATCAAAATGTTTTGTTCTTTCAAGGCTACTCAGTAGTAGTTTATGTATGACTTGAGTTTATTTTTTTTATTCACTTATATGAAAGAGTACATATATTAGTTGCATAATTGTGATTTTAGTAGGACTGCTTTTTACTCTTTGAATATGAATATTACTTATGTATATAAAACATTTATATGAATATTTAGTTCTAATATTATTTTAACTTTTCTAAGGGTTAGCTTGAGAAATAGCTACTATTTCCCCCCAAAGAAGCATATGAATGTATTTCTATTGTAGGTGTGTCATAGCACATAATAAAACACTGTACTATAATGCTACTCTAATAGTAGCATTCAATTTTAACATCTTTATCATAATGGCAGATAAGCTATAAGGTGAAAGCCAAACAAGACCAATTTACTGAGCCTGCATCCTGTTGATTTTCTATGAGCACTCAGAATTCTATTCATTTTGGTTTAGACTGACCCAAGTTCTTGTTTGTACTTAAACTTAAGCAAATCACTGTAATGCATACCTAATATTGGTCATAGAAATCAGGTGTGTCTCTATGCTCTTTGTACCTTTATCAGTGTCCTCATCCCCATCATCATCTTCTTCTTCATCACCCTCAGACGAGATGATGTCAGACAACAAAGAAAAGAAGCCATAGACCCAGTCCGTGGTTTCCTCCACAGCGTGATGTGCATATTTCAGAGGATCTGAGGCAATCTTGGAAATAGAGCTTGCTAAAAGCAGTTTTAAAAAAAAGAAAATTTTATAATTATTTCCATAACGAAACTAAGAAACACTTTTTCCTGATTTAATCTTTAGCCTACATAAATGTGTCAATTTTATGGATTTAAATATCTCTAGGCTATAATTTTTCTGCTCAGAAATATTGGGTTGGCCAAAAAGTCTGTTAGTTTTTTCCTGTACAGTGGCTCTAGTAGTGCTTAGTTGTCTTTAACTTCAAAACAATTTTGTTAGATTGCAGTTTTACAGCTGTCATATCAGCATGCATTAAAAAACTTATCAAAATTGGCGAATTTTGGTGCAGCCATTTTAATGCTGAAGATGGAAGAAGATGTGCAACATTTTGGCATATTATGCTTTATTATTTGAAAAAAGGTTAAAATGCAACTGAAATGCAAAAAGAAAGATGTGTGCAGTATGTGGAGAAGGTGCTGTGATTGATCAAACATGTCAAGAGCAGTTTGTGAAGTTTCTTTGTACTACTGACATTTTGGCCAAATAATTCTTTGCTGTGGGGCTGTCTTATGCACTAGAAGATGTTTAGCAGCACCCCTGGCCTCTGCCCACTAGAAGCCAACAGCAGGAGATAGCCAACATACTGAAAGTATCCAAATTAATAAAGTTATTGGTGAAAATGAAAAGTGTGTATTTTATTTTATGGAAAGAACTAAATGAGCTTTTTGGCCAACCCAATATAAACTACATTTTGTTATAGCATGCATGGGTATTCAATTAAAAAGAAAAGTTATTGTGTTACTGTAGTCCATGTACTATGGGGAAACCAAGAATGAAATTGCCCTTGGGAAGTTTTTAATCTAAGTAAATGTTCAAAATGAGGAAAAATGGGAATAAATTAAACAATGTATTCTTAGGTTATCCAAATTGCAATACAAACTATAAGTTACAGATGGTCAGGAACAGAAGAAACCATGGCATCACATGTTCTGATTTCTTTTTTTTTAATGTTTATTTTATTTAATTTTATTGTTTCACATTTTTTATTGTTGTTTAAGTGCAGTTGTCTCCATTTCCCCCCACCAGCCATCCCTACATCACACCCCTGATCCCACCCCCCTTTGGTTTTGTCCATGTGTCCTTTATACATGTTCCTGAAAACCCTTCCCCCTTTCCCCCCATTTTCCCCTCCCACCTCCCCTCTAGATATTGTCAGTTTATTCTTAATTTCTTTCTGCTAAAAAAGTGCTCTGACTGTCAGGGGTGTTTTGTGTTTTTATAAGAATTTTAGGATTGTTTTTTCTATTTCTGTATAGAATGCCATTAGGATTTTGATAAGGATTCTGTTGAATATGTAGGTGACTTTGGATAATATGAACCTTTTAACAATATTAAGTCTTTCAATTCATGAACATGGGATGTCTTTTTTTCTGTCTGCTTTAATTTCTTTCTTCAGTGTTTATAATTTTCAGTATACAAGTCTTTCACCTCTTTGATTAAATTTATTCCCAAATAAATTGTTATTTTTCATGTTATTATAAATGAAATTATTTTATTAATTTAATTTTTCAGAGAGTTTGTTGCTTGTGTATAAAAATGCAACAGATTTTTGTATGTTAATTTTGTATTCTGTAACTTTATTAAATTCATTTGTTAGTTATAACAAAAAAAAAAGAAACAAATCATTGTTGGCCCATATTGTACTGAAAGGCATCATAGAGAAAATGGCTCTGTAAATTTTCAGATAAACTGTGAGTTCCAAGTTAATTTAAGTAGCTATGACTAAAATAAGATTGATAGGTCACTTATTATAATTTGTGATACAGCAGGAAAATACGGAATTGTCAAGCTAATGATCACATGGAGCTCTATCTAGATTCAATTGGTTTATCTGTGTTAGATATCCCAGTACCTAAAAATAAAAAGTGTTTGAATTCTAGTAGCTTTAATGGGTAGAACTAGAAAAGACAGTAAAATCTGTAAATCTTTCTTTTTTTATGTCCTAGGAGATATGAAGTATTTGTGGACTGAAAGATTAAATAATAAAAATACAACCAACTAGCATTTTAGGGATTTCCAAAATGTTGGTCTTCTCATTCAAATTACATGCAAATTTCTCTGAAGAAGTAAGAATGGTTTTTTTGAGTGAAGAGGTGATCTATCTGAAAAAAAAATCATATAAATTGTCTCTACTTTTTCATTAATCTGTATTTAAATTTTAGATTTATGTTTTCCTTAATTTTAAAAACCTTTCACTTTCATAGACTCTTATTTTTTTGATATTTTAAGAGACTAGAAACATACCAATATATTACATTATCTAAAGGTTAAATACTCCAAAATTTGTCTTTTACTCTGGTTGTGATAGGGAGTCATTGGAAGAAAGATAAAGTGATTTAACTTATGTAATGTCATTTGCTGTGTTGAACATTGAAAGACTGCCAGGTTGGATGTAGGAAGATCAGACAGAAGCCAAATGAGGTAATCTAGGAGGAAATTTACAGTAATTTCTATCAGTGTTTTAACAGTGTGTGTGGTGAGCTGTGGTCAGATTCTGAATATGTGGGTTGGCCAAAATGTCTGTTTAGTTTTTCTGTAAAATAAAAAACACATTCTTCATTTTCACTAATAACTTTATTAATTTGGATATTTTCAGTATGTTGGCTATCTCCTGCTGTTGGCTTCTAGTGGGCAGAGGCCAGGGGTGCTGCTAAACATCTTCTAGTGCATAAGACAGCCCCACAGCAAAGAATTATTTGGCCAAAGTGTCAGTAGTACAAAGAAACTTCACAAACTGCTCTTGACATGTTTGATCAATCACAGCACCTTCTCCACACACTGCACACATCTTTCTTTTTGCATTTCAGTTGCATTTTAACCTTTTTTCAAATAATAAAGCATAATATGCCAAAAATGTTGCACATCTTCTTCCATCTTCAGCATTAAAATGGCTGCACCAAAATTCACCAATTTTGATAAGTTTTTTAATGCATGCTGATATGACAGCTGTAAAACTGCAATCTAACAAAATTGTTTTGAATGAAGTTAAAGACAACTAAGCACTACTAAAGACATCACACTGAAAACAAAAAAAACTAAACAAATTTTTTGGCCAATATTTGGCCAAGCCAATATTTAAAAGCTAGAATTAATAGTATAGACTTACAGTTTGACTGTGGAATATGAGAGAGAGAGATACAGGATAACTTCAAGGTTGTTGGTATGAGAGCACAGAACAATGAAAATGCCATTTACTAAAGTGGGGGGATTGGAGAGAAGTAGGGATTTTGGTGGGAGTGTACACATAGCTGAGTTTTAAGACTTGTCAAACTTGAGTTGCCTTTTAGACATGTATGTGGTGATGTACCACACAGTCCAGCTCATTGTGACCTCCAAAAGTGAAGTCCTTATTGAAGACAGAAACTTGGGAGTTGAATAGAGAATAGAAGGTATTCAAAGCCATGACACTGAATGTGATCAGTAAGAGAGTAGAGGGAGGAACACTCTAACATTTAGATCATAGGATTAAATTAGAGATGGGGAAGAATCAGCAATGGAGTCTGAGAAGGAGATTTAAAGAGGGAGGGAGAGAAAGAAAAGAAAGAGAGAGAGAGTGAAAGGCAGAAAAAAGAATATAATGCACTAAATATACTAGGTAGATATTAAGTGAGGAAATTGTTTTAAGGATAGAATTATCAACTGGCTAATGTAGCTGATAGGTCAAGCGAGAATAACTTTTAGATTTAATGCTGAGGGTGACATTGGTAATCTTCAAAGGGCAGCTTCAGTGGAATGTATTCAGACCAAATGGGAGGAATTGAGAGGCAAGGGGTCTATTTTGCTGTAAAGAAAATGACAGAAATTCAGAATTGACTGAAGGAGGATTACAATCATAGTGGGTTTTCTGTTGTTGACACTGTTAAAGTAGGAAGAAATATTCCATTTTTATGCTGATGTGTAAGATCCCACAGACAGGGGAGAAATCATCTGAGAGAGAAGATTTCTGGGGAAATTTTAAATTGTATATTTTATTTCAGGAAATTTCAAACCCATCCAAGATAACAGATTATAAAATGCTGGTCTCAGGGAACCTATCTCCAGGATTCTTATAACTTCACTCCTGAGTCTTTATTTTACCACATTCTGAGGCGTTTCCTGTGAGCATGACATGGTAGTCTGAATGGTAAGATGAAACCTTAGAGAAAGAAAGTGAATGGATTTTACAATTGCTATTGAGAATTTTAAAAGAATTATATGTAAGGAACTGGATTGTACTGGCATCATTAAAGACATTTTAGCACTGGTATATTTTATATCTAATGGAAGACTACTGCAAATGGGGTTTTTATGATCTGAATAGATTGAGACCATTTCTCCATTCCCCTTCATTCTAAGTGTTCACTGGAAAACATAACAATAAAATCCAGTGTGATAGATATCTGTTTAATTATCCTTATGCTTAAATGCATTATATAAACTCTGCAGACATGTATACTGCCTGGTTCTAAAATAGTCAAATAAGGCTACTTTCATAAAGTCAATGTTGCTGGCTTGAGATCAGCTTCTGAATTTTAGCTACATGGGCAACTTTAAAAAGTTGATAGATGTATACATATAGATATATCTCAAATAAGATAGTGGTTTTCAAGTCAACTCTTATTCCTTCCCTGAGACATCACATCCAAATAATATCAATGGGAATGATATACAATACAACTAAACCTTTTATTAATATCTTCCTTTTTAAGAATACTCATGTAATTGTACTTTCCTACCTCTCCTGTTTCTATTAGTTTAATTATATATAACACAGTGAGGATCTTCATAAAATAATAGTAGCTAACACTTATAAAATGCATATTACCTGCAGGATATCATTTGAAGAACTTTACATATATTAACTCAGTTTTTCCTTTCAATGTTGTAATGTGGTAGTTATATTATTTTATCTCCATTTTAAATACACAAACAATGAGACACAGATAATTTAAAGAATATGCCTAAGGTTATACAGGTAGTAAATGATGAAGCCTGATTT